TCCTTTCCAATTTGTATCCCCTTGATCTCTTTCAATTGTCTTATTGCTCTAACTAGGACTTCAAGAACAATGTTGAAACGATATGGAGATAGTGGACAACCTTGCCTTGTCCCTGATTTCAGTGGGAATGATTTAAGTTTCTCTCCATTGAGTTTGATGTTGGCTATAGGCTTGCTGTATATTGCCTTTGCTATGTTGAGGTATGTGCCTTGTATTGAAATGGGATCTTTTCATGAGCATGTTGTTTTTGAAAGCTCAATCCCCAGCACCACTGAGTGATAACAAAAAGCAAACTGCTTTATCAGCAACAACATCAAACCATACAAAATACACTTAAAATCAGGTAAAGATGAATAACTATGTGACCTGAAAACAGCAATACTATAGAATGTGGTATAAAATAAACATTACTTAGATTAAGTATAGAAATAGTAAACTAATGAAATAAGGAAAGGAAATAGGAAAAGGAGAGAAATAGAAGAGAAACAAAGTTAAATAAAGGAAAGGAAAAAGGAAGTGTAAAAAAATGTAACAGAGGGAAGAACAACACAGGTGATTAGGATTACTAAGAAAGAGGAAAAGAAAAAAAAAACCCTCAAAAGATTCCAAATTAAAAACCAAAATTAGATAAATGTAAGAAGGGAAATAAAAAGTAAAAACATAAGTATTAAAAAAAAAACAACAACCCATAGCCAAGGCTACAACAAAGAAACCCTGTCTCAAAAAAACCAAAACCCAACCCAAACCAAAGCAAGCCAAACCAAAACAATCCCCTCACCCTGCACAAAAAACCAAAATCCCACAAGTGGGTTAGAAGGATGGCCTTACAGTTAAGAGCACTTGTTGCTCTTGCAGAGGACCTAGGTTCAATTCCCAGCACCCACATGGTGGCTCATGATTGTTGCAGGAATATTTGATCCCATTGTGAACCCTGAGATTGTGAACTGTATAACCCTGTCTTTTGTTTGGTGTGATTCAGCCCTCACACACATTTAATTCCAGAACTTTCTGTTTATAGTAAACAGGCGATTATGGTGTGTTCAGCCCTAACACACACCTTTAATCCTAGAGCTTTCTGTACACAGGATTTAATAAAGTTAACCCAAGGTCAAGAGACAGAGCAAGTAACCAGCTGACAAAGGATTTATGGAAAGGAGCGACTTTGAGAAAAGAGTGTTTAAGAAGAACGACACTTTAGCTCTATAGCTCTTGGGCTTTTAGCTATTGGCTTTCCACCTGGGCTGTTGTCAGCTTTTAGCTTGGGCTTTTGGCCTTTTCCTTCTGGGACATGAGCTGAATAGGAAGATCAGCTGGGTGCTTTCTCTGCGTCTCTGAGCTATTAAGTTTTCATTCCAGCATCTGGCTCTGGAGTCCTCATTGGTAAAACAGAACGGTTGGGATTTTCATTCATTGTAACAACAACACATGATCATTTGTAACTCCAATTCCAGGAGATCTGACACCCCTTTCTAACATTCATAGGGACCAGGTCTACATGTGGTACGCAGACATGAAGGCAGGTGAAACATTCCTACACATCACATAAAATAAATTAAACGAACTTTTAATTACCCCTCCCTCCGCAAAAAACCTTACCCAACAAGGTAAAGCCTAAATACTACCAAATGTAGGGAGAGAATAAGGAAGAAAACACAGGGTTGGAGGGATACAAGAATAAAAGCCAACATTGCTATCAGATGTAAAAATGCCTAAACAGGAGTAGATGATGAATGAAGGGGAATACTAAAAACACATTTTTATAAGAGCAAAAGATTTCTTCCCAGGATTCCCCAGCCCGCACCCCATCAGGTGGCTCATGCTTTGGTGAGTTTTTTTTTTTTTTTTTTTTCCTCAGGAGCTGTGGAAGTGTGGTAAGCAGCCACACAAAAAGCAGCTGTGGTTGTTTGAAGGGTTTGGGTAGGCTGTGGCTGCCCGCTAGGTGCATTTGATTTATGATGTCATATAACTTCAGGGCTTCTCTGTCTAGGGAATAACCTGTATATTAGCGAGAGTAAGGTATTGAACTCGCCAACCATTACTGTGTTGGAGCCAGTTTTTGGTTTTATGAAATTTGGTGCCTCAGTGTTTGGTGTATATATGCTAAATAGACTAAAATTTATCTTAATTTACTTTTGTCTTTTTTTTTTAATGGAAGGAAGAAGTGAATCTCTAGTCACCCATTTTCCTGATGATTCCCCTCACTTTTAAAAGAAATACTTATTTAATGTGCATGGGTATTTTACTTCCATATGTGTCTGTGTACCACAGACACATAGTGCCTGCAGAGGCTGAAGAGCGTGTCAGGTTCCCTGGAATTAGAAAGCAGGGCAAGTTCCCTGTGGCAGTGCCTTGAACGTAATACCAACTCACTCTGTGCTCATTATTTCCGTAATATAAGTCAAATTATAAAGAATTCAGAACCAGAGAAGGAAGCGTCCAAAACTAAAATCCAACACTAGTCTTGGATGCCAAAGCTCTTTCTACTAAGTCTCCTATTCTGCCAGTGAAGAGTAGGACAGGATCCCAGTAGGGAAGGGGTAATGGTACAAGATGACCCATTCAGTTAAACAGTATCATAATATCTTTGTTAAATACTCACAGCATAACAGGATCCTTTAATCATTCACTCATTCAACAAATATTTGAAGTTGTAAAATGACCACAGAGTGGGGTAAAAGTTCAGACAAATAGAATGTGATTAGTTGCATGTCCCCTCTGTCTTTGGTTTTGACAAGAACTCAGAATTTCAGGAAAAAGGAAAATATATGGGTTATGCATGTCATGCCACAGCAGAAGGCAAAGTAAGAGTGTGTTAAAGAAAAAAAAAATTGAAAAAGTGTTTGATCAGGTTAAGGGCAAACACATATTCATCCAGTGAATGAGCTGGAGATTCTTGTTGAAATATCTTTTGTGTGTGACTCTGGATTCTTCACAGTTTGAATTGGCTCAGTGAAGATAGTCATGAACAAGGTGAGGATAAGGACCCCAAAGAAGGACTCATCTCCACTCCTATTTTTTTTGTTTCTTTTATTTTCTTTCTTTTTAAATTTTTTATTTTTAAAATATTATTTATTTATTTTCAGCAATATATTTTGATCATATTCTTCTCCTACTCCAACCTGTCCTCGACTCTCTGCATTCTTACCCTCCTGACTTTATGTTAAAGCCTAGGCTCACAACCAAAACGCCCCTTCTCTGCTTAAGTATCATCTCCATAAATTTGTTGGAAACCATCTCATCATGGTTTAGTTGATGGGCTAGTAATCTTTCAAGACCTTACTTTCCTATTTTTGCTTTATTGATCCTGGGTGAACATTTAATTTTCCAGGCAAACTATAACATGTATAATTACACTGATTTCAGTTTTAGAATTTGCACAATCTGAGCTCAAGAAATATGCTTTAAATATTGACTTGGGGGCTGGAGAAATGGCTCAGAGGTTAAGAGCGTTGGCTGCTCTTCCAAAGGTCCTGAGTTCAATTCCCAGCAACAATATGGTGGCTCACAACCATCTAAAGTGAGATCTGGTGCCCTCTTCTGGTTGTGCAGGTGAACATGCAGACAGAACACTGTATACATAACAAATAAATAAATCTTTAAAAAAGAAGAATTTCTTTGCTTTTTATTTTTTAATATTTTTTATTTTAATTTTTATTAATTATACTTTATTCACTTTGTATCCCCCCATAAACCACTCCTGCCCCCCTCCCAATCCAACCTTCCCTCTCTCTTCTCCCTCCCCAAGTCCACTGATAGGAGAGGTCTTCCTCTCCTTCCTTCTGATCCTAGTGTATCAGGAGTGGCTGCATTGTCTTCCTCCGTTCCAGGAGAACGGCCTGGTAAGGCTGTTCTCCCATCAGGGTGAGGTGATCAAAGAGCAGGCCAATCAGTTCATGTCAGAGGCAGCCCCTGTTCCCATTACTACGGAACCCACTTGGACACTGAACTGCCATGGGATACATCTGTGCAGGGGTTCTGGGTTATATCCATGAATGGTCCTTGGTTGGAGTATCAATCTCAGAAGAGACACCTGTGCCCAGATTTGTTTCTGTTGTTCTCCTTGTGGAGTTCCTGTCCTCTCCAGGTCTTACTAACTCCCCATTTTTTCATAAGACTCCCTGTACTCTGTCCAAAGTTTGGCTGTAAGTCTCAGCATCTGCTTTGATGCCTTACAGGGTAGAGCCTTTCAGAGGCCCTCTATGGTAGGCTCCTGTCCTGTTCCCTGTTTTCTCCCTCTTCTGATGTCCATCTTCTTTTAAAAAAAAGATTTTTTTTAAAATTAATGAATGACTGAATAAGTGATGGACATTTTAGGTATCTGGGAAAGAGAGGCATTCTTATCCTACCTAATCAAGATTCTGAGACACAGAGAGAACGTAGAGCAGGCTACATGTGTGGCAAAGCTAACCTGGTCTTTAGCCCTCTGAATGCAGATACAGGGTTCCATGCACAGGCACATTCATCCCGGATCACAGCTGGAGAGTGGTTGTGACAAGCTCCAGGAAAATATAAGAAGCAGCTGGTTTTGGAGTACAGATGCAAGGGTCTCTATGGGTAGAAACTCAGCAACTGCATTCATCTGAACACACCGATTTATTTCTTGTCATCACTTTCATCCTAAAGTTATGAAAATAGTACAAGCAGCTACACATATTAAATGTTTGGTAAATTAGACTATGAATCTCTTAATATCAAGGTTAATATTTCTTGACTCTACCTCACCAACTAGGATACTACATAACACATAATAGGTGCTCAATAAATATTTGTGAGCAGTGCAGAGACAGAAAAGTGGATGTATACACGGTTCTTACCAAGGTAAGCTGCCGGAGCATTTTTTAATGTTAGTTTTTAATGTTTACTAAGGCTGATGTCATAGATTAATGAACATTGGATCCTGTGGTCACTGTCTGTTTTCCCCATTCTTCCTCCTTCCCTCAAGTAGGTGGAGCTACCTTTTCATGATTTAAATGTGAGAGTTCCAAAGGTTTAGTGACATCAGTGATCCAGAAGCCACTGACCATGGGTTTCTCTGTAGTTAGTCTCACCAGAAACCTGGATGGTGTCTCTGGGTTCTTCCAAGTGGTCTTCCTGCTCAGCCTATTTCTTGTGCTGTTCAAGGCAATCCAGTTCTACTTTCGAAGGCAGTGGCTGGTTAAGGCCCTCCAGAAGTTCCCATCCACACCCTTCCACTGGCTTTTGGGGCACAACCTGAAGGTAAGAAGAAGGGAGAGAGTGGAAGAGTATGAAAATCTAGAGCATCAGTACACAGGGCAGTCTGCTGGCTGATGCACATGTGTTTTCTGAAGGACACTCGGTTCGCTTCTAAGAGTGAGCTCGCCTCAACCACGGGGAGCACACGCTTTTAAAAAGATGGATGTTGACAATAGACTAAAATCTCAGGATGTGCAAGGGCATGGGAAAACAGCCTATCCTTATGGAACGGGTGAGTGATGCCAGGGACAGAGAATAAGTATCTACACTGCTCTCTGAGAACTTCTGGAAGTGATGATTTGGGGCCACAATGTATATCAGAAAGGAAGCCCCTTAAGATAAAGGAATTTCTATGGAGAGATGAAACATTCCATCCTGCGCAAAAGCCCCTTAAATTCAGAAAGCAAACAACTTAAAGGCTCCATTACATCCCTGAAAACTGGCTGGACTTACTAACCTCTCTTATTCCCAAGTGTATATGAGCAGTAAGAATGGCTGAGTATGCTACTAGCCCTCAGTAGAGTATAGTTTGGTAAGGGGCTGCCTGATGAGGCACTCAGTGAGGGCTTGCACACTAACCACATTTAAGAATAGATAAAATTTTGAGGCACTACAGAATGCTGAGGTTCTTACCCTAATAGCTTCATTAAGAAGACTTAGCTCCGTCTAACAAGGCTTCAGGATCTGGCCAGGGCAAGCCCTTGTTGGACAAAGTCCAGGGCAAAGGTCTGGATGAAAGAAAAAATAGATCATCAAACTGGCCCAAATGTCTACCTATTCCTAACATTCCAGAGCTATGGCCCTGTGATGGTCCCGCCTCTCCTAAACCATATAAAGTTCTAGAGGTCAAAGAACATTTTCATGAATTTGTCTTTTCCTTGGTGTCTGTTCCCAAAGGACCAGGAACTCCAGCAGATTCGTAAATGGGTAGAGAAATTTCCAAGTGCCTGCCCATATTGGCTCTCAGGGAACAGAGTACGAGTCCTGCTCTATGATCCTGACTATGTGAAGTTGATTCTAGGACGATCAGGTGAGAGTGCAACTTTATAGCAGCTGTAGCACATTTCCCGTCCAATGTTCATGCCCCAAACCTGTGAAATTTTTGAAAGAGTGACACTGCAGCCATCAATGTCTAAATCATACCCACCATTCTCCCTGTCCAGTTAGCAATACTTACATAGTTCTCAGCACTTAATATAGCTGCACAGGGCTTAACTTCTTTTTTTCTTCTTTTCCATTTTTAAAACAAACTGAGGTGATGTGTTTTTACAAGTTTCCCAAACATCGCAGTGACAGAGACATTCAGCTGCTGGTCCAACAAAGTCTGCCTTCCTAAGTCTAGCTAACTGGCAAGACAAAGATAGAAAGGAATGGGAGGCAGTGGCATGGGAATGAGTGGCACAGTTGCTGAGACGGCTCAGCTGGTAAAGGGTTCTGCTGCTAAAGCCTCATGGCCTGATTTGAGCCCTGAAACCTGCACTGAAAGTGGAAAGAAGGAACCAACTCCACAAAGTTATCTTCTGAACTCCACACAAGCACTGTAGCAGGTACACATGCAAATAATAAATAAGTTTTAACATTCTGAAAAACTGAAGAATTCATAAAAGCTTGCAGTTTGAACAGCATCCCCTTATCTGGTCCTCAAGATCTGTTTGTTTTTCAGATCCGAAGGCTCACAGAATTTACCACTTGCTTGCTCCTTGGATTGGTAAGTATGTGAAAAAAAAAAAAAGTGTTTTCCTGACACTGCTCTTTGGCTAATGGAAAACAACAGGTGACTGGCCATGAGTATCGTGATCCGGTGATCTGTCCCTAAACCAAGCTTTATTTTTCTTCTTCTAGTAAGTCCTTAGTCCTTCTTAATGCTGGTGTGAGTGTTCAGGGTATCTAGATACCCCTTAACCAGCCGAGCCGTCTCCGCAACCGTGTCACTAGTTCCCATGTCACTGCCTCTCTGAAGATATCATTTCTTCAGACATTTGTTGCCAGACATTTACATATGTCCCTCTTGATCTGATCCACACACATTTTCACCCTTTATTTTACTTCTTTCTTAGTCACAGAAGATTTATCATATAAATTGGAAGTCTCACTTTCCATGTCTTAATCTAAAAAAAAAAAAAAAATCCCATTACTGGATTTTTTTTCCCCTATTTTATCCCAGTGAATCCACCCACATGATCCCAGGGACACCTTTGAGTCCACAGACACATCACGTACCGGTCTCTGCCACAGGTTTTGGTTTACTCCTGCTGAATGGGAAGAAGTGGTTCCAGCACCGGCGGATGTTGACCCCAGCCTTCCACTATGACATCCTCAAACCCTACGTCAGAGTCATGGCAGACTCTGTCAATATAATGCTAGTGAGTTGCTCTGTCTCTTTCTCATTTCATTACACCTACTCACAGAATACTCACAATGACCCCTCTAAAACATATTTCAGACAGTCACATAGACTGATAATTCATGACATTGGTATGAAGTAAGTGACCCACAAGTGCATAAATTGGAGAGCTACTGCTCATCAGGATTTAGCCACACTCTTCAGAAAGCACTGTGGTAAGTGCAGGACCAAGTACAGGACCAGTGGCAGCTTCAAGATGTTATAAGACAAGAATGTCTTGGACTCCAGGGCTCTGTGTGATCCTGAGTCTTTTTGAGTCTCTATGTGATCCATAGCCTTTCTTTTCTTCTACACATTTTATTCCTGTATTTACTCCTATTTTTAAGTAATAGTTTATTCCTATTTTTCAAGTCTAGTTCACTTCCAAAAAGGGGACTACTTTTATAAACTGAAAGATTATATTTGTTTCTAAAAACCAATAAGCAATAATTGAACACCTTGAGAAAATATGTTCTGTTTTGTTAAAGGGTTTGGAAGAAGTAGGCATCAAATTACAAATGTTTGCATCATGCTTTTAATTTGCTGGAAGCAGATGAACTTGATGGTGAGGGACTCCAGACTGGTTATCTGAAGATAAAAAGAAAAATCTTAGTCTAAACACAGGTCTTCTGGAGAAAATTAAGGAATTTGTCTCATTCTCACCACAGGACAAATGGGAGAAGGTTGGTGGCCAGGACTACCCTTTGGAGATTTTTGAATACATCTCTTTGATGACACTGGACACTGTTATGAAGTGTGCGTTCAGCCACCAGGGCAGCGTCCAGTTGGAAGAGTGAGTGGCGATCCTTCATCTTTTAAATCTTTAGTCTTATCAGTCTATAAGGGCTCAGAAAGAGCTAAGTGGGGCTTCTAAGGCAGTTTCTCCCAGGCAAGATTTTCAGCCAGCTGTAGGCCAAGCTCTAATTTCAAACTAGAACCAAACCAGTCACAGCAGGACACTGTAGAACCTTAGCAACTGTGGAAGCCCAGCTGGTCATCTATTTTTTTAAAGTCCCAAGGGTCAAAAGACCTGTAAGACAGAAGTGATGTGTGCCTTGGTGTTGTGTGTCCCAAAGTTGAAAGGATGAGTATAGAGAACCCACTCTGTTCTTGGGTCAACACCCTAATCACCAGTGTGTTGTGTCTTCTGTCCTCAGAAATTCCAGGTCCTATGTGAAGGCTGTTGATGACCTGAACACCCTGATTTTCTACCAATTGAGGAGTGCCTTTTTTGATTTCAGCACAATCTTCAATATGTCCTCTGATGGCCGTTTGTTCCACCGCGCCTGCCAGATTGCTCATGAGCACACAGGTTCCATCTTTCCACCCCTCCCACCTTTTTTACTTTGTCAGGCTCACCCCTCCCCCCCAAATGATTAAGTATCTCAGACCTAGTGCACTTACCGGAAGCCTCTGCAGGGCTTGAGACACTGGTGTTAGTTACTACAAAGATACAACTTTGAGGAGCTAGGCTATTGGCATATGAGGTACATTACAAAAATTACCAGTTTCATTACATTGGTGACACTGCATGAGACCCCTCCAACAGCCTTCAACATGGCCCTGTGGCCCATGATCCACACTGGAGGATCCAATTGGAGGGTTGAGGTATATGAGATTATGTAGACTTCAAATAATGACCAAATTCCCACCTGCACATGCATCTGGGGCTCCGTATGATACACAAACTGGGTTCAGGGATCCTGTGAATGACAGTCATTCTGGGTTGTCTGACAAGTGCTTGTCATGGCTAGATGGGGTGATCAAGATGAGGAAGGCTCAGCTGCAGAATGAAGAAGAGCTGCAGAAGGTCAAGAATAAGAGGCACTTGGATTTCTTGGACAGCCTCTTGTTTGCCAAAGTGAGTGGGGTGCAAGGTTGAGCTTTGGCCCAGAAGCACAGATTGGATATAAACTCTTGTCTCTCACCTGTACATTTCTTCAGATGGAGGCTGGGGACAGCTTATCTGATGAGGACCTGCGTGCCGAGGTGGACACATTCATGTTTGAGGGCCATGACACCACAGCCAGTGGAATCGCCTGGATTTTCTATGCCCTGGCCACCCACCCAGAGCACCAACAGAGATGCAGAGAGGAGGTGCAGAGCATTCTGGGTGATGAGACCTCTATCACCTGGTGAGAAAAATTCAAGATGAATGAGACCCATGCCCTCCTAAAGGAGAGACCCTACTTCTGGTCTTCCCAGCTCTGTGTGACTTTGAGATGGGCCTCATTTCAGGGAGCACCTGGACAAGATGCCCTATACCACCATGTGCATTAAGGAGGCCCTGAGGATCTACCCACCAGTACCATCTGTGAGTCGAGAGCTCAGCACGCCTGTTACCTTTCCCGATGGACGCTCCTTGCCCAAAGGTAACCAAAACCAGGGACCTAAGTGCTCGCATGTATTGTCCCAGTAAATTGGAATTTTTTTTTTCTTTTAAAGGAATGTGTGTCTTCTCTATCTTTACTGGAAACCCAAGTTTTCCATGAATTGTTTGTAATATAAAGAACTATTTGATAGAACGTAAAAATACTAATGGGGGTGCCGCTGGAGGCTGTGGGCGCCGATCTAGGGCAGCGGGTGCGCCTGCTGGTCTCCAGGACCTTTCCCAGGTATTGACTGGGTGACCTGAGGTCGGTCCCAATTAATTTCCACACTGTAGGCTTTTCTCTCATCTGGCAATTACAAAAGCTGGTGTTTTAGGTCCCTGAGTTCAGTCTCCTGGTCGCTGTGCCAACACTGCTGCCCTGCTCCTCAGACACAGTGTCCTCCCTCCCAGCGCCGCCATCTTGTTGTCGGTAAATTGGATTTTTACGTTGAAATTGAGATGAGGTTATAAAGTTGAGGCTGAGGCTATCTCCTGGAAGAAATGCTACACTCTAGTTAAATATTATTCTCAGCCTTGAAATTACAGTCACATCAGATACTCAGGGTTGAAAGGAATGACACAGTCTTGTGGTTCTAAGGGTTTGTTCATGAGTAGAGACAAATGAAAATGACAAGGGACTCCTGTGTGTGGGTATAATGTCTCTCAGTCTCTCAGAAAACTTTGAGGTGATGAAAGAGAGGAGCTGATGATAAGTTATGAGCTCCTTGTCATCATAGGAAAACATGTATTAGTGAACTCATCATTGGATATGATTCCACCTCTGCCATGTCCAAGCAGTGTAAACAGAAGAAAGATAATGGGCCTCATTGGGAATTTAGTGTTTCATGTGAAAAATGGAGTGGTGCAGGGGCACTTGTGTTATGTTGAGCTACTGTCTGTTCTCTCATGGTGGATGTAAGAAACTTGAGGAATGCGTGTTGTCACGTCACTCACTAGAGTCAGGACGCCTCCAATTCTTGCTGTCTGTCATCAGCAGGTTTATGGTTGTCCATGTGTGCTTTTCTACACTCCCTAACCCCCAAAGATCACTAGCTCTAAGTGATGACTCTGTATTCAGGCCATTTGTGCATGCTGGTCTCCTATCGGGTATGGATCTAGAGCCCTTTTTCATTGGATTAATTATGTTTCACTCCATGTCTTCTCACCTCCGCCTACAGGTATTACAGTCACAGTTTCCATTTATGCCCTTCACCATAACCCAAGTGTGTGGCCGAACCCAACGGTATGAAATCCTTGACCTCTAGACATTCTGTATCCTTTCGCACTGGAAACGGGCTGGATGCCCATCCATCCCAGCCCTGGGCTCTCTCTGCAGGTGTTTGACCCCTATCGATTTGCACCAGATTCTTCTCGGCACAGCCATGCTTTCCTGCCCTTCTCAGGAGGAGCAAGGTAATGGGAAAGGATTGAGAAAAAGGATGGAGGGTCAGCACCTATTAATAATTTATATTTCTGATTGCTTATGTCCCTATGTGGTCTACTCATGTGTACCTCTGTTGTTGTATGTGGGCAGACGGTGTCATGTATACATGTTTGTGCCAAAAGGAAAGATGGCAAAATTTGGTGTACCACAAAGATTTTTTAAACCACTGTCCTGTGGCCACTGAAACATCTGTATAAAAAATTAGTATATTTTGGTATTTTAACAAATTATGAACTTTGTATTTCACAATAATATTTCTTATGAAAATTAAACCAAGAACTTTTAGTTTTCAATAATCTAAAAGGGTGAATTTCTCTCTCTCAAAATTCTTATTCTAGATCAGAAGGTTTTCTTACTAATTCAACAGTTAGATGCATCTATAAATCTTTAAAATATATGTATTTATAAGTATGTATATAATATAGTAAGTATTATAATGTGCTATAGTTCAAATTCTAGAAACGGTATGGGCTCTTCTGTTAAAGATTATATATATATATATATATATATATATATACATATTGTCACCTCACTTACTAGAACACACATATATATATATGGGTGTGTGTGTGTGTGTGTGTGTGAGTTCACAGCTCATTGTAGGCTGGACACCAGTGGCAATCATCACTTATTTTTGGCTTCTAGCCTTACAAAAAATTTGCTGCATGTACAAATTCCTCTTGTATTTATTTGTACATACTTTCCCAATTGCAAAGCTATGCATGCAAGGAAGTAACTCCAGTGAAACAGGCCTGGTCTATGTATGTCAGTGGTTACAAAAGCAGAATGAAGACATTAAACAGCTTCTGAGAAACCCCTCTGTTTGGTGATGATGGGTGTCATAGCTGGTGTGTGCAATGACAGAGAAACAGCTAAAAGGCTGATGGGAAATCCACAAAACCTACAGGACTTCTCCTGTAGATCACAAATTCCCCAAAACTTCTTAAGGTTTTGACACAGTGGTCGTCACGGGTTGACATGTCTGTAGGGGTTACAGGGAGGATAAAATTAAAACTAAGAATTTCTTCTGACTCACCAATTCTGTGAAACCTACAGTGCTGAATCAGCTTCCACAGAAAAGGTTTAATGCATGGCATTTCACTAGAAGACATAGACAGTTTATTTCAAGGTTAACAATTTTATCTTAACCAGCTAAAAACATACTGCAGCCATTGGAGGGTAGGAGAGTTATAGGTAGTTAAGTTCCTACCTTATATATCATCTTAATCCTCTATTCATATTATTTTCTTTTTTAAAATTCAACTCAGTTCAAATGCCAAAGTATTTTAAATCGTGTTTTCCTGTCATACCTCTTGCTGAGAAAGGGATGCAGAAGTGTGGGATTCTGGTCCCAGCCTAGCAACAAGACCAGAGGGTATGTAGACAGACACCTGCACTTGGAGCCGTCGTCATTCCTTCTCTCTGTCTTTCACTCATGCATCATTCATTGGCGGTTTATGAAAAGTTGCACATTCCTCGCTGTCCTATAACCTGAGGTCTGTGGACCCTTGAATAAAGCTACCTTAGAGTCCAGGAGGAGATGAAGAGCCAGCAGGGAATATAGAGCTGACTGACTCTGAGCTTGTTCCTTCAGATGTGGTAGTGGGTGTGAAGAGAAGCATTACTGGCGACTTCAGGAGCATGAGCTAAAATAGGAAGTGGGCATAGACAGATAAGAGATGGTGACTCAGTAGTCCTCCCGAGAAGTGTGCTTATGTCTGGGGCAGCTGGACACTGCTCATACTGATGGAGCTCATGGAAGGTAGAGTGCAGAGAGAGTGGTTGTAGAGAACAAAAGACCAAGATAGAAAACTGAAAATGCAAATAAGGACTTTTCTGGGATCAGATTCGATGGCTACGGGTGATGACTGTCTGGGGGAATGAGGGACTGGAGCCTGGAAACTGAGTGAGAGGAAGATGGAGGAACATCTTGAGGATCCCCATTGAGGATTCTGCACTCACCAGAAGCTTCCACCACCAATATTTGATTACTATTTTAGGATGAATTCATTTTTATACATAGATGATACTCCGCAGGATAGCAACCTACTCCTCCTCATAAGACCCTGATAGGAATATAAACAGTGGAGATCCAGAAACTCTTTTAATAGAGAGGATAGGCTAACTAATGATTACCTCATTAACTAACTCACATGTTTGGAATCTATGTCTCACAATGCTGGCAGTGTTCAAATGACATTTCATTCACCTGAGAGCAGGGCTAAGGTCAGAGATAGCCCTAAAGGAGTGACAGACTTTATCATGGGTCAGGAGCCTATGCACAAAGACAAGGGATTGAGGTGGTTGTGAGACCTATAAGGAAAGTGATCTCAAAGCAAGGAATGATTTAGGTGTGTGACCTATAAGGAAAATGATTCAGCTGGTACCATGAAGGGGACACCAGTGCCATTAGGACCAAGGCTCAAGGAACAATGCTGACTGTACCCAGAACAGGTCTCAGCCCACATCTCATTTTATGTTTCTGCTCCATTCAGAAACTGCATTGGAAAACAGTTTGCCATGAACGAGCTGAAGGTGGCTGTGGCTCTGACCCTGCTTCGCTTTGAGCTGTTGCCAGATCCCACCAGGATCCCAGTCCCCATTGCAAGACTTGTGTTGAAGTCCAAGAATGGGATCTACCTGCGTCTCAAGAAGCTGAAATAATACTGGTGGAGAAAAGGACAGCTTTGGAGGCCTGCTGTCTGCAATACTATTTGACACCCGCTTTCGTCCCTGGCTTATCTATATTTGTTTTGCTCTCTCTCTGACGCTATCCCTCTGTTTTCTGTAATGTCTCCTGCCATCTTCCTGTCCTTATTTCTGTAGCTTTCATCCAGAATGTTTCCCAGCTTGGGCATGTACCTGTTTCTCACCTGGTTGTATCTCCGACTGACCATATAACCCCTGAAACCGGTCCTCCAGGCTAGTCGCCCTTTAAAACCATCAGCTTGATAGAAGAAGAGATATTTTAAAGGGAGACACTCCATTCAGTTATCAGACTCTTGAGGCAATGGGCATCATTAATTAAAATGTCAGTAGGAATCACATACTGGAAGAAAATTAATAAAAATCTACCCACCCCGACACTGTTAATAATATATTTATTAAGTGCCACTGTTGATGATATGTTGCTATACTTGCAGACAGGAGGCTAGCATAACAGTTGTCTGAATGGCTTCATTAGGTGGCTGATGAAAATAGATGCAAAGACCCACAGCCAAGCACTAGGTGGAGCTTGAGGAATCTTTTTTTTTTTTTTTTTTTTTTTTGAGACAGGGTTTCTCTGTGTAGCCTTGGGTGTCCTGGACTTGCTTTGTAGACCAGACTGGCCTCAAACTAACAGAGATCTACCTGCTTCTGCCTCTGCTGGGATTACATGCTTGTACCACCATGCCAGGCTGAGGAATCTTATGAAAGAGGGGGAGAAAGTACTGAAAGAGCTAGAGGGGTCAAGGACACCATAAGAAACCTACAAAATCAATTAACCTGGGCCCATAGGGGTTCACAAAGACTTAACCACCAACCAGAGAACATCTACCGGACCGACCTAAGCCCTCTACACATATGTAAGAGATGTGCAGCTTGCTCATCATGTGGGTCCCCTAACAACTGGAACAGAGGCCGTCTCCAACTATGTTGCCTGCCTTTGAATCCCTTTACCCTAACAGAGCAGCCTTCTCTAGTCTCAGTAGGAGAAGATGGACCTAGTCCTACTGTAACTTGATATGGCAAGGTGGGTTGATATACATGGGAGGCCTCCTTTTCTCTGAGGCATAGGGAGGAGGTGAGGTGAAAGAGAGGGGCTAGGAGGGGAGGAAGGGAGGGAGCTATGGCCAGGATGTAGGGTAAATAATTTAATTAATGAAAAAAAACCACTAAAAATCTGGCACCGGAGAACTTGACTCACAAGAAAAGATTTTACACATTTCTGTTTGTCTCATGGTAAATTAAATTAATTGAATGCAGATTTCCTGGTATTTACTTCATCTATTATATGAAATAATAATACTGATACAAAAAGCTAGAAAGAAATGAATAATTTTTCCTTCTTTGTCACAAACTATAAATAAGTCCATTTTACTCCATCAATTTCTGTTTCTTATTTTTGTTTAAGATACAAGAAAACTACTCAGGATGAACCTAAATGCCCCAGAGCAGTTTTGGCAAGGCAGCCATCGGGAAACATGTCACTGTCTGGTCCCCCACTCTTAGAATGCGGTGCCCCTGGAGCTGGTTGTCTGTAAAATGCAGGCTGGCAGTTTGGTGACCCTCGGAGTTTTCTGATTTTAACCTGGGTTCTGTTTGGAGTAATGTAGTTATTCAGTTTAGCGATTTGGAGAATTCCTGTTAAAGTCTCACGACCCGGACCTGGATTCTTCTGTGACAACGGCACTGATTATAATGAAGGGTGTTTGCCCTCTGTGCACCAAACACAAGGGCACCCAAGTTCATACATCACTGGTATGCCGCTCAAATTCCACATTGACCCTTGCATAGTGATGCTAGATGACTCCTCTCTCACCAGTAGACAGGTCATCCAGACAAAAACTAAAATTCTGGAATTATAGAATGTTATTAGCCAAACAGGCCTAATGGATATTTTCAGACCATTTCACCCAAACACGAAAGAATAGACATTTTTCTATTTTCTCAGCACCTCTTGATACTTTCCCCAAATTAATCACATACTCAGACACACAGCAAGTCTCAGCAGATAAAAGAAAGTTGAAATAACACTTTGCATCCCATCTGCTCACCATTGGTCAAAGCTCAATATCAACAACAGAAGCAAAAAGCAGAAAGCCTAAAAACTCGTGGAAGCTGAACAACTCACCACTGAATGAAAATGGGTCAAGATAGAAGTCAAGGAGAAATATAAAACCTTTTTATAACTGAGTAAGAATAAACCACAACATACCCAAACCTATGGGACATAATAAGAGCAGTTTTAAGAGGCAAGTTTATACCACTAAGTGTCTGTATAAAAATATTGGCAAGATCTCATATTAGTAATTTAACGGTACACATGAAAGTTCTAGAACAACAAGAAAAATAATGCCCCAAAGGAGTAGATGGTCAGAAATAATCAAACCCAGGGCTGAAATCAATAAAATAGAAACAAACAAAAATAATAACAAAAAACCAAAGAGTTGGTCCTTTAGGAAATAGCCAAAATAACTAAAATATGAAGGGGGAAGATTTAAATTAACAAAGTTAGAGATTAAAAAAGGGGACATACTGAGGAAATCCACAGAACCATAAAAACATACTTAAAAAAAAATCCTGTACTCAGGCAGATTGAAAAATCTAAAAGAAATACATAATTTTCTTGATATATACCACCTACAAAAGCTAAATCAAGAACAGATAATCAATTTAAATAGACCTATAACCCATAGTGAAATAGAAACAATAATAAAAAGTCCCCCCCCCAAAATCCCAAGGCCAGATGGTTTTTAGCACAGAATTTTACCAGATGTTTAAAGAAGAGTCAATGTTAATACTCCTCAAATTATCCCACAAAATGGAAATAGAAGGGACACTGCCCAGTTCATTTTTCAAGGCCACAGTTACCCTGATACCCAAACCACATAAAGATCCAACAAAGAAAGAGAATTAGAAACCAGCTTCTGTTATAAACATATGGGAAACATTCTCAGTAAAATACTTGCAAGCCAAATCCAAGAATACGTAAAAAGAGATCATCACCACAATCGAGTAGGGAGAGCCACAGGGATAATTTACCATATATAATTTGATAATATATCCATATAAACAAACCTGGAAGAAAAAAACCCCACACAATTATTTAATTAGATACAGTAAAGGCTTTTGACAAATCTAACACCCTTTCATGACAAAAATCCTGGAGAGACTAGAGATACAAGAGAAATAAATCAACACAATAAAGGCAATTTACAGAAAGCTCATACCCAACATCAACCTAGATGGGGAGAAACTCAAAGCATTTCCATTAAAACCAAGGCAGGGCTGTCCACCCTCTCCATACCTACCTGATATCATACTTAAAATCTTAGCTAGTGCAATAAAACAACTGAAGGAGATCAAGGGCTACAAATTGGAAAGGAAGAAGTCAAGGCATCTTTATTTGCAGATGATATGTTAGTGCATGCAAGTGACCCTAAAAATTCCACTAGGAAACTCCTACGTCTGGTAAACACTTTCAGCAAAGTAGCAGGTACAGTCTCAACCCCATGAGACTAACTGTTGTTACAGTAGTGTGGCCTACGGATCAACCGCAAGTTGGAAAAAAAGGAATCAAATATCTATATTACAGTCTCTTAGGCCTGAGAACATTCAGCAAGAAGAAATGAAAATAATTTAAGAGCAAGTTTCAGGAGTTTTCTGGTACTTCTCTGTTGTGTTTACTTCTGGAGTTATGAAAGAGTATTTCCATTCAGAAGAAGTAGCTGTCCAGTACTCTACCCTCTTCGCTGGCATTCCCCAAGATTGTACAAGCTGGAGCAACTTCTAGGAAGAAGAGACAGACCAACTAACCTGCCTAAAAGTTGAATTCCAAAGCTACAGCTTTCATTAGTCATCACCCAGCTGGGGTGGGCTTTCGGTGATGCAGCTAACGTTGCTTCTGTTCAGTAGGTCACCTCTTGCGATTCTTTTGTAAGTAATTTCAGTAAACTCAATGTTTCACTGAGCTGAGCTTGCCTGGAATATTTTCTTTTGTCTGTGGTCAGTGCCCTACTCAGTGTGAATAGATGTTAAAGTCATCCTTGAAAAGACAGATAATAATCACAAAGTCAAACTGTTACCATTTAGCATATAGCACTCAACTGAGCCTTCAAAAAGGCTCCTCTTTCTCTTCTCCTTTTTCTTTCCTCTTCCTCCTTTATCTTATTAGAATTAGATTTTTTTCATGGCTTCCTCTCCTCTAAGACCCTTAGGTCCTCCCCAACTCCCATCCCAATTTAATCCACACCCTTTCTGTCTCTCATTAGAAAACAAACAGGCATCTAAAGAATAAAAATCAAATCAAATAAACCCAAACCAAACTGGATTAAGACAAAATAAACAGAAGAAAAAGAGCCAAAGAAAAAGCATGAGAAACACACATAAATTCAGAAACACACATACACATAGGAATCCCATAGAAGCACAAAACCAGAAGCTATAATATGGCAATGGACCTGTAAGGTAAAAAAAAATTACAGAGAACCTCCAAACAAATCATTGGATCTGTTTTCAGTTGGTCGTCTGCTGGTGCCTTGCCCTTAGGAGTGGTTCGTTCGTATCCCCAGTGAGACTGCTGGGGAGAACTAATTTTTCACTTGGGAGTAGTTATCAGTTTCGGATAGCTTCTGGGTTAGAGGTGGGGTTTGTGTCTACTCTTGGCTCTGGGACTCCATCTCTTCCCTCGGTAGGAACTGTAAAGAAGGAGGACCTACTGACTGTGTTCTCACATATGTGATACCACCTTCACGCCCTTTGACCTTGATGGAGTCTGCATATTTGCTGGTGACGCATAGTTTGCTTGTGTAAGACCTGCCATTCAAAATAAATAAAGACCAGCAGTGTAGCATGCACGGAGCCTCCTCTGTCAGGGAAGCCTAAGGGCCCTTCTAATGATTACATAAGCCAGAGAATATCTTGGCTCGCTTGTGTACTTAGCCTCCGCTATTTTCTTCAATGTTCTTTCTGACTACCCCTCGCCTTTCCCCTCGAATTCATAGTCTATCAGTTGCTGTCATATTTCTCGGTCTAGCTAGAAATGGGATAGTGCAAGGGTGAACTCCCATTTAAAGAGGGCTATGAGTTGAGCTGCATGGATGTAACTTGGATTTAAGTCCTTAGAATCTAGAGAATATCAAAGACAACACACAAAACCATTAAAAAGAAAAAAGAAAAATGAAAACGAAACAAACCAATAACAACAAAACTCTGAGGGAGATGTCATAGGATGCCCCTCCCCCCCTTTTTTTAGCCTGTCTATACCATAGCAACCACAAAATAAAACAAACAACAGCAACAAAAACAAAATTAAGGGAATCCAGGGAGCAAAATGAAGCCAGAAAAGCATGGGACAAAGGAATTGTGTGTGTGTGTGTGTGTG